CGTGAGTTATTGTTTTATTTAAGATAAAATTAATTTAATATTTAATTCTAAATTTTTTCGATTCAATAGTTCAAGTTACACTTATCCATTTTAAGTGATTTAAATATATTATAAAGCTTAAAATGTATTTACGATAAATGTATTATGGACGAAGTATAAATGTTGAAAGCCTTCTTTATATGAATTATTGAATATCTCAATCTAAATTGTTTAATACGTAAAATGTACACATGTAGCCTATATTTATTTTATATAATAATAATAATAATAATAATAATAATAATAATAATAATAATAATAATAATAATAAATAGTAAGACGTGTCCCCGTACTCTTATCCAAAATTCAGATTTTTTAAAACCGTATTCACATATCTTAATTTTTAAAATAAGAAGGATCCGACTCCTGGATACGTAGTACCCATATCCGACACCCGAGTCCGAGCAACATAGATTTGGACTTGGCTTATGAATTTTAGTTGTTTTTTTCTTGTTTTTGATATAGATTTTCTTGTAATTTTATTCTCATTTTTCCATGCAGTTTATTGTTATGTATGTGGAGAACATGTTAAGACTGGAGAGTGGTGCAGCAGGTAAACTCGTTGGTGGCTCAATGATTGTGGCAATAATGGATAGGCTAATAGATTTGGATGTGAGTTTTTCAATGCTGCACGAGAGTTAGTAGTTGAAGAGTGACTTTTCAGTGGTCTGATGTATATTGTTTTATTTGTTCTTGACGTAGGTGGAAATAGCATGGGATGACATTTTACAGGATGATTTCTCGAAAGGAATCTTTGATATGGAGCTAGAAGACCTTGAGGGGTTTTCAGATCATGTTCAACAAGATGGCAACGAGGTGCTTTTCATTATTCCTACAACCTTTAAACCTTAAGTGTATGCCATTGCTTTCCTATTTTAGTGTTCTTCCATGTCATACTGATAATATCTATGTTGCCCTCTTCTTCACATTACTATTATAAAATTTATTAAAACCACGGTTTAACAGCAAAACAAGTTTAGTTCTTGATAGCACGAAGCTTAAGTTAGCTGGGAATAGGAGTTATCTACCTGAAATTTTGAGCATTTTGTGCTGTCAGACAACATGTAGGTTCTGTTCAAAAACTCTTGTGAGGACTAAGCCTTGCTAGATTTTATTTTAAGGGTCTCAATGCTAGACATCAAGAGATGTATAAATTGATGAGTTGAAGTCGTCTACTTGCTTAATTTTTTGTCTGTGCAATGACCTACCTTTTGTCTTCAATTTTTTACTATCATCTTTCAAATGCTGATAAATGTCTTTTCAGCTTACCAGGGAATCTTTGATACAAAGGTTTTTTGGTGGAAACTTAGTTGCGGAGAAGTTAGATAGTTTGTTGGTGCTTACGTTTGAACACCTTGAATCCTGTATTGAAAGTGGCCGTCTAATTCAGGTTACGCCACCATCATGGTTTCTTAATTTGATGCTCTAATATCCTGGCTTTCTTACTTAGTTTTACTATTATGGAACTCCGCAT